GTTACCGACATCTGGTGAAAATTTCATGTCATTAGCACCTCTAGTAATATATTTACTGAGAAAAATGGTGACGTGTTCAATACTTATTTTACCCGTTGTATTTATCTCCAATCAGGCAGAGCGTAGTGGAAACGGTTTTACAATGTTACACAGCTTTTAAAAAGAAGAAACAGTTGGATAATGCATTGTGATGAGAGATACAGTAAATGGCAACAGACAGTGTTGTATAAAGTACCTCAAAGTGATACTTGAGTAAAAGTACAACCATCTTATCATAAAAATACTTTGGTAAAAGTTGGTCTTCTCTAAAAATATTACTCGAGTAAAAGTCTTAAAGTATCTGATATTTTTTGTACTTAAGTATCAAAAGTAAATTTCTGACACAAAATCTACTTAAGTATTAAAAGTAAAAGTACTGAGTAAAAGTTAGCAGTTAGATTTTCCAAAATAACATTTATTAGGAGGTGACTTCTCCAAAAAACCTTTTTTTCTAACAGCGTGCAGCTGTGAAGGGTTGTGTACAAACTAATGCAGTGTCAGAATGGTATATATTTATACTTCTCATCCAACTACAATCAAATTCACTCTATCCAGGAGACAAACTTTATCAGGATAGTATTTTTCAGCAATAACAACTCAGAAAAAAATAGGAGGAACAACTTTCTACTTCTTACCTTTTAAACAAAATGTAGTGAGTAGAAAGTACAGATAATTGTGTAAAATGTAAAAGGAAAAGTAAAAAGTACGCAGAAAAATAATTACTCAAGTAAAGTACAGATACCCAAAAATTCTTCTTAAGTACAGTAACAAAGTATTTGTCCTTAGTTACTTTACAACTCTGGCAATAGATAAGAATTTATAACTGAAAGGAGTAAAAGCTTTTGAAATGAAATGATGTGAACATTACAGCACATCAGACAGTGCAGAGAGTTTAATATAAAACCTGAGTTTAAAATAAAATAAAAGAAACTAATTTTCTGTCTGACTGCTCTTGTTTTGTCTCTGGTTCTGCAGAATCCTACCTGTTCTGTTTGGAAAAAGGCTTTTTTGTTCTGAGGCCTTTTCCCATCAACTTTATGAGATGTGTTGCAGGGAGTGAACTGCTCGTACTTAGCAGCCTGGCAGGAAACTAAATTAGAGCGATTTCCCCTCAATTACACAGTGATTAACGCCGAGGTGGGAAGGGCCAGCTGACCTTCTGACCACGTAACGACTTTAAACAGATCAATGGATCTGTGACGATCAGGACCAGAGCAGCTGGAACTTCTCTCTTTGTTTCTCATAATCTTTCATTTTCTYCTTACACAAAAATCCCTGTTTTCATTTTGTGCTCAAAATGTAGCTGCTGGCAGTTTTACTCATTGTGTGAATGCTGAGTCAGCGTTCAGACAGTGAACATAAATATTCTGTGTCAGGTTTCTTCCATACGTTTTTCTTTTTCTTACTCCAATGAAACTACTGTTACATACTTGGTGTAAATTAAACATCATACTAAAACATTTAGAAACACTTTAACAGCAGAAAACAAGATTTTGGAAATGCAGCAAAACAAAAATGTCCACAAAATCTTCATTTGTAACATATATATAT